CCTCCCAGATCTTTAAGCCGATGGATTTTCATATCTATAAATACATCTACTCTCTTAACCTCTTGCTAACCATCAGTTGCACACCATAGACTGCATTTGGCACCAGTGCAGTCACTGCAGCCAATTTGGCCACCTCTGGGACACATCTATTACTGCTGTAGAGGTAAGAGCAATTCATTGTGAACTGAGGCCCTGTTGTACTCAGTCCTGTGGAAACAGGTAATAAGAGCGGACAGTCCCTGCTCCAGCCTGGACTCACACCCACCACAGCGCTCCCACCCACATGGTGATTCACATGACAGTGGCAGAGAAGGGTCCGATCCTGTCACACTGGAATGAAAAGAGACCATAACCTGCATGGCACACCTTCATATCGCATTTGGGAGGGAGTAGAGTTTGTCAAAGGAAGTTAAGGTGCTTAACTGACATACACCGGAGATCTGAGAGGAACAAAAAAAGCCAGAGAGGAGCAAACTGCAGCTCCCTGGAAGTCCTGCTCAGCTGCTGGTGCTGGTCGCTGCTGGCTCCGTACCGTCACCCTCCCATCGCTGCCCGCTCTGCCACAGCTCTTCTTGAGACGGGAGGTGAAGCTGGCCCACAGACCTCCTGGGAACACAGCTCCTGCCTCTCCCTGCATCCTCCATCACCTCCAGTGCTTTCTGGGGACCCCATGCCCACCCATCATCACCATGGCTGGTGCTGGACCTGGCACCATCTGCCCTCCTGCCCTGGCCACAGCCAAACTGGGTCAAGGTGAGGACGTGGTACTGAAGTGGTCACGCTTGTGATGATGGTGAACAGGGGCTCAACACCCACCTGCTGCCACAGCACTTCCCCAGCTGCCTGCTCACACAGCAGCCCTGGCTGCTCCCATTGTCCTTTTCTCTTTTTTGTTCTGGTTGTATGGAGTTGGGTGGGACACATGTGCAGCCAGGACACGATGGAGGTGTGAGCTGGGAACAGGCCGACCCAGGGCGGCCCTGCTGCCTACATGGGCTCCCAGCTGCGGACTAGGGGCTGTGCAAGAGCCAAACACTGGAACCAGTGAGGAGCAAAGAGGCCCAGGACAACAGTGCTCAGCTTCACAGACTTTTATTTTTCACTCTGTACAGAACACGTCTGCGATTGTAATAAGGCATCAAATGCACTATTGAACAGCTCACGATGGACTGTGACGTTTCGCCCTGTTGTGGATCAAAAAGGAGCTTTACAAGATTAAACCAGTTGCTTTCCTAGTCAGTAAACTTTATATTCATCGCAGACAGATTTTTAAAAGGATTACAAAGACTAAAAAACTGTAAACACATAAAAAACCAGCAGCAACCCAGCATAGCTTCCTAGGAGAGAGTCTTGGACATTTCTGTCATGGGGCTGAGTTCAGGTTGGCAAGGAGCAGGTGAGGTTGGCTGTGCCCAGGAGCCATGCAGGGAACCCGCAGCCTGGGGGCTGGGAACCACATGGCAACAGGCCTCCATTCCAATGAATATCCATTCCAGCAGATGCCATGCAGCTCCCAAATGGCCAGCCTTGGCCACATGTGTCTGATCAAGAAAAGGGAACTGAGAACACGGGTTACCGGGGAGCTGTTTGAGCAGCAGGGAGCCAGATGCTGGCTGCCTTCCTCCCTGCAGCACAGGCACCTCCGGCGCCCCTCTGGTGGGAAGGCAGAGGCCAGAGCAGAGCCCAGCCTGCAGACATGTCATGAGGTAGAAAACTGGAAAGTGTCACGTCTGGCAGTTAGGGTTGGTCAGAAATGAACTGACTAAGGGTATAAATCCTGATGCATTTCTGGGGTATTCAGAAATCTGTACTTGGAATCCTGATAGTTTAGAGGGCACCTAAAACCCAGTTGGTATATGCCAAAATTTAGATCCCCAAAAAAGAAAGCTCTCCAACGATCCCTGTGACAGCTTTAGCTCAGGCAATGAAAAAGCACCAACAATTCTTCCCACACCTGTACCCTTAAAGCACTTAAATTTTGAGCAGGGCAAATCAAGTTGTGAGGGTGCATGAGAGGGCAATCAGTGTCCCTTGGCCTCAGCCTTTGGTATGGCCTCGTGTGAGGTCCACTGGCTTGTCCACTGGCCAGTGGGCTCATACATTCATTTTCCACCATCGGTCATCAGACAGCAAGTGCTTTGGTTTCTGTCGCACCACACAGCACGAGAACCTGAGAGTCCAGAGGTTTTATATCGCACCACCAACTCACACCATGCTCTAATTTGTAAAGGTGATCAGAGGAATGTCCTGAGAGTTTTTATCTGCTAAATTCCTGCACTCTGAAGGCCTTCCTTCACGTCTTTCTTAGTACACAGTAACACCAAAGTGAAGAAACTCTGTTAGTCCCATTGTTTGAATTTTCTTACTCCTCACACTCCTGCAGAGTATATATAGATTATTAGGTTGACTAAGGTTTCCTTAAAATGCTCAGAGAAAATTTCAGGGTTCATTAAAGTATTGCAGGCTCATGATCTGTGACAGGCATTTTACAAAGTGTCAGAAAACTTCTCTCTTGATAATAACATACTGACAGTTGGGGAAGAGTTCGTTTTTCTAGTGCTAATAATCAGCATTAAGGCATGCCATGGTTCCTACAAGAAATCTGTGATCCGTACAGCTTTAGCTGTCATCTTTCTGCAGTAATGGAATGTACTCCAATTTCATGCATATGTATCATTAAAAAATAAAAATAATAGCTCTGAAAACCACCACCCTCAGTTTTAGAGCTTCTGTCGTGTAGGTGAGAACAGTGATTCCCACTAGGATCCCAGGCAGGTGAAAGGGTTTTCATCCCCCATGACACCCATCTGCGGCCGCAAACTGTCTTGCTCACTCCAGCTCAGCACCATTTACCCTCTCACTTGACAAGGCTTTCCCTGGGTCTGTGGAGGCCATGGCCAACCCCTTCCCATCCTCAGGCCAGGATGAGAAGCAGTGCTGTTCCCAGCACCCCACCTCAAGACATGTGTCAAGCCCTGCAGTCAGCGTCCACATACCCACCAGCAGGCAAAGGTCAGCTAAGGGGGAACTCTCCTCCTGTGTCCTGCTTCCTAGGCTATTTCCTTCCTCACTCTCACTGATCACAACAGGCTGAAGGCTTCTTCTTACATCTGAAAGATATTCCAGGTATTTACTCCAGACATTCAATCCTGAATCCCTGATGACATATCCAGAGGGATGTAAGCTCTCCAAAGACAACTGTGGACATGCTGGTCACTGTTGAGTTACCGCCTGTGAACACGCCGTGTATCATGACATAAACTGGGAAAATCATCTAATAGGCAGCAGTACCTCCTAACAAGGCAGCTCATTTAATTACCCAGTGACACTGAACAAAAGCACCGTCTAGAGCAGCATCTCTTTTGCAGGGCCAGTGCCAAAGCCTGGGTACCACGCTCTGCTATTTACAGTGACCAAAGGCATGAATCTGGAGCAGTGCAGATCCTTGAGTCCTCAGTCAAAGGCCAGCAAGCACAAGGGACTGAACTGGCTGAATGCCAGACTTGGGTGCTGCACTCATCTCCTGACAGAAACAGTCAGAAAACAGGGAATGAGCAACCAGGTGGCAAAACAGCGTTCAGTCTCTCCGAGTGAAGAACCCACGTTTCCACCATCCACTTCTTATTCTGAACTTTGTGCTGCCACATATTCCTGGGTAAAGTGAGCACAAAGGACATCTTGTCACCCTTTCCCAAGAGAACTCTTCTCTTGTATGTCACAGTGGGGAAAAAAGTATAATTGAAAAAATATTTAATACTCCTGATATTTGAAACCTAACTCATGACTGAAAAGGCTGTGACAGTGAATCACATGCTTCTACTAAGACTCTGCAGAGACTGTGCAGACAGAGCTCTTCACTCATGTTTGGTTTTGTCAGGGACACATACATATATAATGACAGACATGTTAGGAGGACATATATATATTAACCACTGTTCAATAAGAAGTGACAGTGGTGCATAGGCCAATTTTTGTTGGTTTTCTCAACACTGCAAGAACACACCTTCAATGTTCCACAGAATCTGCTGATGAAATAGCATCAGTGGTACAGGTTTTTAGCTATGGTGCCACAGAACTGTTAAAGTAACATGTACCCTTGATCATCTATGTTAAGTGAGTCTCATGTCAGCCAGTAAACTGCCTGATACTTAACCTTTGTACTTCCCGGTGATTTATTTTTTACAAATAAATTGGGTTTTATTGAACGAGCCTCAGATAGCTCCTTCCTGACCTTTCCTTGCTGGTTATGAGAAAGCTGACAGCCTAGTGACATAAAACTGAAGTTTCAGAAAGGACTAATAAGATGCAGACAGCCCCAGTATAAGCAAAGCCCTGCAGCTGAGCTTGAATTTCTTCTGGCATCTGTATTGAAGGAGAATCAATCTCAGCATACCCATGCCTTTTTACTCTTTGGGTCTTTTGAGACTCCAGACAAGAGCTCTGTTAATTCAAGTTATGGCAGTTTTCATACAAAGACATCTGTCCACCAGGAAATAAACTTCTTTTATATGGGTCACTATAGCTATCAGAAGTTAATGACTATCAATCATTGCTAATCTGAAATGAAATGGAGCCACTGACCTCAAGCTGAAAGAGCCTTTTGTCTCCTACCAATACCATGAGCCATATGGTTTCCTGCCCTTTGCCTCTTATTTTATATTTTAAATAATCATCACTAATTGTACAATTGTTTGAAAAGATGGCAGGGTTATGGCAAGTCATGACCAAGTGGTGTTCTTTCTTCCCTCAATAGAAAAGGGATCAGTTGAAAATTAAAGAATAAAAAAGAATCTCTTTAATGAAATATTAGCCCTGATATTTGATTATTGGTCCTGCTTCTTAACATTCTATCAAGTAGACTGTTAATAATCCTGCAATAATTAACGGCTTCTAAAGTGTCAAGGTCATTCCTGTTCTATATGGAGAAATAAGAAAACTATATAGGCAAGACACCAGTGGAATGTTTTATATTAGGATAAACGAGTATCTGAGGAACCTACTTATCACAATTTTTTTTATTCAGTGGTTTTCATTATTTTGTATCATTTGTATTTCCTCTGACACATTTCCTCTTTACAAGTGCTCATATACTGCAAACATTTGATTATAGAGCTTAAGATAAAACCATTCTTGTCAGACAAACAAACTGCATCACCAGCTATCTTTAGCTGCATCTGCTTTCTTTAATGAAACTTATTTTCCTGTAGAAATGTTGCCTTAAAAATCATGACTACACTAATTATCTATGGCAAGCACATCTTCCTCAACTAATGACAGCTCGAGCATATTATCATTTGCTCCAGACTTCATTCTGAAATTGAAAGATCCATACAGCTTTGCAGACTCCTTGGAGGATGCAAACCTGCTCCTCCGGTACAGCTCCCCTTTCCACATGGACATCATCAACAGGCTGGAGAGCACCACGCCCCCCAGGGTTAAGAGACACAGCCCAGCGATAACACAGCGGTCCAAATGAGCACCAATCCTGGCGCTCTCGTTCTCCAGCCTCTCCATCTCCCGGGCAGCCACAGTGTTGGGATCCACAGTCACATCTCTGGGTACCACGTAGGAAATTATCACCAGCAAAATGCCACTAACCAGGAACAAAATGGCACTAATGAACCCATAGTCAACGGATTTCCCGGCTGCCGCCTCCGAGGCAGCATCTTCCTCCTCGGAGACCAGGGAAGGAGAATCATGCACCCATTCAGGTGGCAGCTCCCTGCAGGAATGCTGCTGCAGAAGGGCATCCTGGCAATGTCCACCTGTAGGACTGGGGGGACTTCTTGCATGCTCCAGATTTACATTTTCATCCACGTAGGTGAATGATGTCTCGAGTTCCTGGGCACAGCAGCAGGCTTTCTTCTTCCCTCTGTCCTCCTCCCTGGGCGAGTGCTCGGGTGGGTGGCAGGGCTGGGAGCTGCTGGAGGGTGCAAGGTGCTCCTGGGGTGAGGTGTCCAGGGATGAGGGCTGAGGTGCCAGGGGGGGCTCAGCTACAGGGCCCGTCTGCAAGGGCTTGCAATGCCTTTCACAGTGGAGGGCTGCTCTGGGGTCCACCTCACCCCCCTCATGCTGCTGCTGCTTGTAGGGAGGGGAGGGCAGGCTCCAGCTGGTAGTGGTGCCCAGGGGCACCTGTCTGCTCTCCTTGGCCAGGTAGAGAAGCTCCATGCAAGCCATCAACCTCGTCCCGGTGAGCCTCGACTCCTGGGCTACTTCATCCTCCAGCAAGTGCTGCCCCTGACCTGCAGAAGCGGCTTCCCGGAGCTGCTGTATCCCAGAAATCTTCTACTCTTTCACCAACGTTTTGTTAGGGACATGGCTTGTGTCAGCTGTTAAATGATTAAACAAATCCTCTGTGACATTCATTTTTTTTTGGTCTGCAAATGAAATAACAGAGGGGAAAAAACCCAACAACGAAACCAAACCTGACAACCTCATGATGACATATTAATAAACCAAGGAGCAGATAATGCAAATGCAATACATCAGCCTTCCTCTCAACTGATCAAGGGGAGATGACAAACAATGATTGTTTTAACCACGCATTTAAAATTGCAATCCTCTTGCTGATCCAAAATCTATTAGGGAGTCTAATCAACCTTTGACACCATTATCCCATTAAGGCAATAAGTCATCTACAAAGCACAGGATAACCAGAAAAACTGTGTAAAATGTCAGAGAAAAGAGACGTCTGTTGTTTTAGAAGCAAGTAACTTCCCCACCCCCTTCCAAAAAAAGAATTTTACAATCAGATTCACAGACTAATTAGAGAGAAACATGCAAATCCCATGTAGCTCAATAATCCAGGATCTGTATTCTCCAGTAGAAATCTGATAATCCTATGGGAAAAGCAGTGCTTTCCTATAGCAGATCTCCCATTCGATTAAGAGCTTTTGGAATGAAATTATGCCTCAAGGACTGATGACTCAAAGACGGATATTACTTCTCATCTGCAATTAATTCGTTATTACCCCCTTCGCCGGCGCCCCATCCCCCCCGAGGCCGCCCGGTGTCACGGGGCGCAGTCTGCAGCCCCACGGATGTGTTGCATGCCTAGGAAACACATGTGCGCCTACAGCACATACGTGATCGCTCACAGCCGCTGCTCACTCACGCTCTTCTCGGGACCTCAGCGAGAACCGGCCACGCTGGGGAAAGCGATGCCCGCCGGCGCGGGGAGCAGCGGGATCCACCCGCCACCGAGTGACCCGAGCGGTACCGAGGGTACACAGGCACACACGCACAGGCACACACGCACTGCCCGGCAGGCAGGAGCACGCCGCCTTCTCCTCCTCCTTCTCCCCGTGCTCCTCCTCCTCCTCCTCCCAGCGGGGCTCTCACCTGCCCGGCACACACACACTGACACACACAGACACACACTGACACCACACTGACACACATGACACACACTGACACACACTGACACACACCGGACACCTAACCTCCCGGCCGCCTCCGCCCCCGCCGGCGCCCGCCCCCCGCTATGCCAGCGCGCGGGGCATCCCGGGCGGCCGGCGCCCGGCCCGGCCCGGCCCGGCCCGGCCCAGCCCAGCCCAGCCCAGCCCAGCCAGCCCAGCCAGCCGGGCAGCGGCGGGGGGGGCGGGCTCTCTGCGGCACGCGGGAGCTGTAGTCCTTGGGCGGCTGGCGGGCCGCGCCGCTGCGGCAGCGCTCGGAGCAGCGCCTCGGGAGCAAGCGCACGGAGCCGCGCCCGCCCCGCGGGCTCCCGGCGCTCAGCATGTCCCTGCAGGGACACGCTGCCGGCGTTCCAGTCACCGCACCGTCCCCTCCCAGCGCCCGGTTCCTGGCACGTGCAGCGAGCCCTGTGCGTGTGACTAGCTCGGTCATCAGCCAGACTTGTTTTCCATGGTCACGGGAGCTCGCGACTTACTCCAGGGAAAGATAAAAATCAGATTCTCAAATGATAAGTGATAAAATCGGATTCTCAAATGGTCGCAGCACTCCCGGACCTGAGACTTCAAGAGACGTACTCGCTGCTGCAAGACTTACTGGAAGATCGCAGAAGCTCACTCCATGTTGGCAGACTCCACACGCTTCCCCTGGCCGGCACAAGTGACTATTAAAAAAAAAAAAAAAAAAAGTTGCCAAGAAATACATAATGAAATGAATGAGCATTTAGTACAAACCTTCACTGACCTTTCTTGATAGTTCTTTATCTGAAGTGATAAACTAGAATATGAAAATAAATTGTGGAGGAGCAGGAACTGGAGGTTTATCAGAGCTGGATACTATGTGGTTGGAGAAAGACCAGTAATGAAATGAATGAGGAGCATTTATCAGCCAGACTACGGGAGCTCGCGACTTACTCCAGGGAAAGATAAAAATCAGATTCTCAAATGATAAGTGATAAAATCGGATTCTCAAATGGTCGCAGCACTCCCGGACCTGAGACTTCAAGAGACGTACTCGCTGCTGCAAGACTTACTGGAAGATCGCAGAAGCTCACTCCATGTTGGCAGACTCCACACGCTTCCCCTGGCCGGCACAAATGACTATTAAAAAAAAAAAAAAGACTGTTGCCAAGAAATACATAATGAAATGAATGAGCATTTAGTACAAACCTTCACTGACCTTTCTTGATAGTTCTTTATCTGAAGTGATAAACTAGAATATGAAAATAAATTGTGGAGGAGCAGGAACTGGAGGTTTATCAGAGCTGGATACTATGTGGTTGGAGAAAGACCAGTTTCTGGGGGAACAAAGAGCATTGGCGGAGGGACCTTTCTAAGGAGCTGAAATGAGGATGCACATGGGAAGTAGAAGTGAGCAGCACTGGCCTGCATGGCAGCTGAATAGGAAAGCAGCTGTGTAGGAAGGCAGGGGCACAAGATGGAAAGTGAGCTGGGAAGGAATCAGAAGAGAGAAGGACAGACTGTCTGAAGGAGTTGTCCTGACATCAGACGACGGGGTGATTCTGTGTAAGGACTCTTAGCCAGTTCTGAAAGAATGCATTAAGTAATTAAGTCAAAGTTTTGAAGACATATCCTGCTGAGACGCAAAAGACCCAGCACAGAAGATTCAAATCTTTATGGCAAAAGCTCCCCTGAATGTCAAAATTGTTTGGCAGGACATGGTAATAACAGGGGACCTGCAGTGCCCATCTCACAGATTGCTCGATGCTGTGGGCTGCTTTGGACAGCATTTCAAAGCAGCTCCAGGCAGTGTTTCCATTAGCAGAGTGCAGTTTCAATGCACTGAATAGTGTATTATTCACTCTTTGAAGAAAAATTGTAAGGAGAAAATTATGGAGTTGCAAAAAAGGAACAGGCTGTCCTTGGAGCTTTTTGTAATAATGCCCTCTTTGAGATAAATATAAAGGAGAAAATAAAACCTAATCAAAGAAACAAAGAAGCTTATCTGTAAATTGTTCAAATACTTTAAGCTAAAAGCAAAGGCAGAAATAAACTCTCTTTAAGGCTATTGTACATTTCCATTTGAGAAGTAGCAGAATATGAACATACAGATGTTAGTGACTGACACCTCAAGCTGCACCTACCACATCCAATAGACAAGTCTTAACTAAGTGACTGATGGGACAAAATATGGTGCTCAGCCCCAGCAATGAAGCCTGGAAGGGCACAAGCACCTCTCCTGGGCCCCAGCACAACCTGTTAAGGCCTTGGGTGGGCACTTTTTTTCTGGTAGCTGATACAAAGACAGGAAACTCTCCGCACACAACAAATGTTGTTCTTTCAAAACCCAGGAGATACAGCATGTATTCTGGTCTGCTTACCAGGGCCTTAGTTAATTGTTATTTAACCACACAAATGTCTTGCTGCTCTGCCACCCAATCCTGCCTGTTGTGTGCCAGCATTTGTTGGGCAAGTATATTAATTTGTTGCTAATAATTGCACTCCCACAAATTATGGAGCAAACAGAGGGAACCACATCTCTACTAAGCCAAGTGTTGTCTGTTCTTATGTTGTATGTTCCCATGTGATGCTGTGTAAAAACCTTTTCTGCCCGACGCTGGGCGCTATATGTCGCGGTCCGAAGAGGGGACAGGACACGAGGAAGGATGCAAGCAGAGTTCTTCATTCAGGCGTGCGCCCGATTCTTATCTGTCCCACCAGGGAAAGGGGGCAGAACATAAGGTGGGGTATCAGACAGACAAACGGGGGAGCAAATCAGAATAGGGCACAGGCAAAAGGGGGAGGAGTGGGGGAAGCAGGGAGCAGGCAAACTCATGGCAAGCCTGGGCGTGTGCAATTGTGCACTGTGTAGCGTGAATACAGTGAAACCACATAATAACAGTAAAGTCCATATGAAAGTCCTGCCAATTGCTGTATGCTTTTCTCCATGCCTGGAACTGTTCCCATCCTGAATCGTGTTCCGTCACAATGCTGCCCCTCCTTTGCCTAGTACAGTGCACACACTCTTATAGCAAAATCATTGTCTAGCCACAATCCATAATACTGACATTTCTTTTTCATTCTTTGGATGCAACGAGTTAACAGGATTTTCTTTTAAAGAATGTGATTGTTGCCAATGCTCGGAGATGTGGAGGTGGTGAAATGAATGCATAGCAACACATACTCTGCGAACACAAGTACAGTTGGTGAAAAGATTAATCAAGTAAGGGCAGAGAGTAAGAACATTTGTCACAGAAAAAATGGCTACATAGAGCTGAAAATCAGAGTGATGGACACACAATGGGACAGGAATAAAAGACTGGAGTAGACTGTCAGGGTTGATGAGTCTTATTCTCTCTGCTGTAGCCTACCACATCATAAAGCCTTTTCAGAGCCTGAGCAGGGCTATGATACCAACACTGTGAAAGTAGACTGATAAAGGTGTCTCAGTTGAGATACATGCAGTTAAATTTAAACCATGCTCTGGACCTGCTTGGAAGCTCTCTTCCAGTTGACCCACCTGTAAATGAATATGTGAACGAGATGTATATGGCTTTTCTGTTCTCAATAACCTATGCTCAGTATAAGACTGGAAGGAGGCTTGTGAGAACCTAAAAGCTGTTTCACCCTTTCTATTTGAAGCCTTGCTGAGGGCCTGACCAGACCTGAAGGCATCAGAAACTGGAACAAGACCATTCCATCATGGTCTGATGAAGGATGAGTTTAGAAATATTCTGCTTGCGCTTGCCGTTACCAGTTCAGTGCTGCATGGGGTTCTCAGTAGAGCGTTCCCCAAACATTTTTATTCTTTTTATTCCTCTCAGCTTCATAACATGTACACAGTCCTTCAATGATCTCGTGTTCACAGAATCTTCAATTCCTTGCCTCACACAGTCACAGGACCTTGAGTTTCCAGTGGTCCTTTCCAATGCAAGTGTTGCAACTGCACAGCTTCTAAGATAAAGGTGCACTCCAACCAGTGTGGCCCAGAGCATAATATATTCAGAGAAGTCTAGAGAGAATATTGCATAAACTTCCCATTTCCACTTGAATAGAGTGGAAGGAAAGGAAATTGTAAGTTAAGTAAAGGAAATTGTCTAGGGAGGCAATAACATGGCTCTGCAGAAAAATTTAGAACCTACTAAAGAAATATATGGACCTGTGTACTGATCTGTGAAAAATAACAAAGGTAATAGAAGGGAATGAAGAGGTAAAGCTAAGCTTATATATAAGTGCAAAAGAAAAAACAATATAATTTTTTTTTTTGCTTAGAGAATATAAGTATTCTGAGGATAATGAGCAAATATTTGGACAACTCAGTATGAAAAGAAGTATCCAGCATTTCTGTGTGTTTAAAACACATTACTGTCACAGATTTATTGATTTATAAAGCAAAAGTAGACAGGAAAGCAATTTAATTCTGCTTTGTTTGCTTCACTAATGCACATCCATTGTGCATTAATAAAAGACACAATAAGTAAATAATTTTACAGAGATAAAAGAAACTGTAGATGTGTGATATGATGTTCCAGAATTGCCAAGTCTAGATTAAATCCTTGCTAAAGCCTTCTGCTTCCCATGTCTGAGTAAGTGAAATCATGGTTTGGATAACTGGAGCTCCTGAGGATGAACAAAAAAAGTCACACTTGATCTTAAAACAAAGGATCATCTAGAGGAGCAAAGAGTGGGAGAGTAGTGTTGACCACTTGAAAAACATGTTTTTTGTAGCCCAGTGTATGAGCTAACAGACATGAAGGACAGGTGAGATTTAATGGGCTGTCAGGCTGATGTCTGCTCCCCAGTGCAGCACCTGTGGAGCCTTCACTGGCCTCAAGAGCACCAACAGGGGAAGGAGCAAGTCTGGATGTCC